CTGTTGATAATAACTGCTAGAGGCCGATACATAGTATCGACGTCATAGAGTCGATGTCATATAGTTAGAGTCGTAGAGTCGAACTCAAAGTATCGAATTCATGGAGTCGAGTTCATAGTATCGAATTCATATACCGGTAGTCGAGTTCAAAGGGCCGAGAAAATAGAGCTACAGTCATGAATATTTTTTTTTTTTCCGTAAGTCTAGTAGTTAACATACTTTTCACCGATTAGTAATGAAAGGAAGAAAGTCAGATATGAACAGTGAGGTCAGATGTGGACAGTTGGTCAGATATGAAAAGTGAGGTCAGATCTGGGCAGTAGGTCTGAACCCAAACCCAGAGATGGAGTCCCGTAAGCGGTATGACACTGACACAGTGAACATTCCGACAACTCCGGTGACGCCACTGGAGCCAAGCTGTATCATCCCCACAGTAATGCTCCCTTGTGGTACCCGGGTGCATGATGCGAGGAGAACCGGCTCATCATCTTGGAGAAAAATCCGAGGCCTTCTGATTTCGTCCCGCGAAGTCCGCACCATCTTCACACTGGGACCAGTCTACACCACCGTCACATTGTTAAGCCTACACAATCCTAACATTGTAACGTCTGCACCATCCTAACATTGTGACGGACGGATGAAACACAAAGGAATAGCTATTAAAACTTAAATTCATGCAACTCTTTCTTTCAGAGTCCATACAAGAACAGGATTGGACGTTAGCTTTGAAAAGTGTATTGCAGAAATGAGAGCATGTAGCGAGAGTGTTTGGCTCCCGGGGACAAGATTCATTTTAAAGCAGCCTCTTTTCTTTCTTCCATTCTCAAACCCATTACTTTCATCAATAAAATAACGTTTGAGCACATTTAGACGCCCCTAACCAGCTGGCGCCTGTGGACGTCTACCCCCTTGACCCCCTCTCCTTCGCTACGCCTCTGGAGCATGATACAGCGTCCGCCTGTTGGGGTGTCGAGGAGCGAGGTTTACTCATTTTGAAAAAGGGCACACCAGAATGTCCTAGTGCGCCAATGAGGTAAGTAGATACATAACACGAAGCTCAGCACAAAGTATCAAATAGAGCTGAATTAACACCAAGCACAGACAATCTGGATATAGTATAACATCAAATACAGACAATGGAGTCATCAAGTAGACATTACATGAGATCTGACATCAAATACAGCCGCTATAGAGACCCTAATTCCGCCCCACAGTTAGATCGACTCATACTCCTCCATTTATTTTGCTGTGTTTCTATGTGCCTTATCGTTGCTAGCTTCCCAACTTTCTTTTTTTTGTTTTTTTTTTCTGGGCTAAAATTAGATCTGACGCAGTCCAAAAGTGTGTAATAGAAATGCAAGATAAGGGGAGAGAACTGTGTGTCGTAAAAACTAAGGGCTGGATTATTATTATATTTTATTTTTTTTTTTTGTTAAGCCTAGCATTTTTTTAAAAAATCATTCTTTTCCAGAGCCAAATTTCTGTGACATAAAACATACACGACGGAAAGTTATGATTATGATTAAAAGAAAGAACAGTGGAAGTGAGAGCTCGTTAGCTTTTATATTGGTATGTCTAGATTTGGACTAACCATTAGACTAGCTACAGGACTATGCACTAAACAAGCAACTAGAACAGACTAAATAATAGAACAATTTCAAAACAAAAAAAAACTGATCGGTTCCAAATACATTTAGAACACTTCAATGATATTCCTCGCTGTCCTCTTGCTGTCCTGTCGACAATTTGTGACACTTTATGACAGGGGGGAAAAGGGGGGAGGGGATGTCTCAAAAATGTGTGACGTCACATTTTAATTTTTTAAAAAAATGTAATATAATCTAATTTTGAAAGTTCTTCATCACATTAATAAAAAAAAATTAATAATTTGAGATTGAAATTGCCTCAGGTATTAATAGTATTGTTTATTGTTACCATGAAACTCAGTCTTGCAGACCTTCTGCGGATATCGAAAAATGACAAACTGTTGTGGCCATTTTACATTCGGCTGGTGGATGACTTCGTTCTTTCGCGTCACAGTTTTCTAACAATACTACATCTTAATCCATTATGGGAAAATGTTAAAGAATAAAATAAAATCTTAGTTTAGTTATGAAAATTCCATGTATGTTTTGATTTTTTTAGGTTTGACATGACACTGGAGAAAGGGGGGGGGGTAGAGAATTTGTGACAAGGGGAGGGGGGTTCAAAAGGGTCATTTTTTGCGTGACGTAATTTGCGAACGACCCTTTACACAGTAAGATTGTTTACACTTTCCTCGCTACTTTGGCGTAAACACATTGACTGTACCGATACATAATAATATATACCATAAAGAGGTGCTAGATGTTAAGCAAGTACTGTCTGCCTATGGAATGGCTTTGTCGGGCCAGTTAGATGAGTAATGATGTCATACTTGTAAATGAGAGTATGGCTTTGTCAGGCCCGTTATTTGAATAATGATGTCATACTTAGACATGAGAAATTGGTTTTGTCAGCCCAGAAAGTAGAGAAAGAAACCATGATATTAACATGCTTAAAAAGAAAAAACAACTCAAAAACAAACAACCATAGTCTGGAACAGCAGGCAACTAGGATGGGGGTTTCAAATCAGCTGATAACGCTAGCCCCCAAACACATACACCATGCACTCACACACACACAACATACTCGCTAACATACACACAATTTATAATGTTTTTGTTTTTTTTAAACAAAATTGCTGCGGATGTGGCTAGAGGTGTGAGTCATCAAAGATCAGAGAGACGTGGACCCTCTTCCTGTTGCCAGTTTGCGGCATAGGGCCTCATTCGAACACGTTGGCTGTTGGGACTCTAACGTCACAGTGCCCACTACATTTGGAGCACGTCTGAATGTGTAGCCGAATGGCTTGATATTCCCAGCTATCCTATCCGCTCCCGGGATAACCTCTCAAAAGGTTAAAACTGAAGTTCTATCTTGACATGTCTCCTTTGCACAAACCCAAATATTTTCGACCTGTAGTTATTCTGTTACTCCGCTGCATCAGAACTTGAACAGGCAACGTTTGAGAAACGCTGTAACATTAATTCACCTCCACATGACGTCTTAATGAGGGCAAAATAATCCCCCCCCCCTTTTTTTCCCCCCCCCCCCCCCCCCACAAGTCCTCTCTAATTTGGGAGTTTAAGTATGTTAAGATACTAGTATTAAGCAATTATAAGAACCAAGCAGAAATTATTTGGACTGAATCAGGATTCCACGCTCGTAGCTGAAATAATCAAAAAGGTGCAGGTTGCGCAGGGCCGGACACTAAGCTACAATGCCAAAGGAGTGAAGAGGGTGCACACCAAAACTCCATAGGTCATTTTTTTAAGGCCACCCCCGAGTGAGTCGCAACCCATACATAGTTTGAGAACCACTTAACCAGATAAAGAAGAGGCCAGACTGAGACCAAAATCACATCCGGATAATTTCAATCAGATGAGGCAACAAGCCCCAAAGAAATGGTGCAGGTAAAAATGAGGTAGAAGATTGGTGTTGGTCTGGAGTAGCTTCGTCCACAAGACAGGACGATCTTTTTTAAGGCTCACCTTCAGTACAACAGCGTTTCCCAAACTGTTCAGTTTCACGGACCGGTGGACAAGTTTCGAAACTGCACCAGGGACCGGTGCCAGATTTATTAATTACATTTTCTTTCTATTTGAACATCAATATCCATGCTCTCCGGACCGGTAACGTAAGGCTTACGGACCGGTGCCGCTCCACGGACCACCGTTTGGGGAACGCTGCAGTACAAGATAGGAATGTCTATTGTTATGATTATGTACAAGACAGAAATATATATTCTTATAAGTATTTTGGCATACGTAGACTGAATCTAATTTATAATAAACCTTTCTCTCCCTTTAGTTTGAGACACTCTAAGCCTCGTAGTAATTTACAGTAAAAGTTCATGTCAGTATAATGTCACGACAGATGTGTCATATGTTCATTAAATCAGTTTGATTCCACCTTTCACTATTAAATACATACATACAATACCTGTATAAAAATTCATAGGAAGAATTTTTAAAAGAAGCCAAAATGGTAGGCTATAAATTTACATCTAATTTTCCACGGTCTGCGCGCTCAATCAAATAACGTGAAAATTTCAGAACTCTTATTCTTCCCTAGTGAGGCTCGTGCTCACTGTTACTGTTATTACGGTATCCATAACAATATTCGTATAGGGTGGTGAATCTTGTGAACCGAAATCCACAGAAATTTCTGATATAAATAAAACTTATGAGTAAATAAGCATAAGAAACGCGAGTAGCGAAGATAGAATAAATATTGTCCTAACAATGTAATTCCGGACAGTAGAATACCATAGACTTCTGATGATGCCAACTACAAGATTATTGAACTAGGAAATGTCATTGAGTCATTGAGAGACTTGCTTGTCGAAATGTGAGCTCTGCATGTCAAATTATAGCACGGAGCCGGAGAACACATCTTTGTATCTTGATAAGTCGGACACATACATTATATTTAAAGGAACATTCCATTATCTTTCATAGTTAGAAACCTGTATATTCTTGAATTATCGAACCGATCGTGATAATCTCAACAGGACCAGGCTGCGTTAGAAATGTGTGTGTCGGCGTCTGACGACACAGCCGAAGTATTTTGGCCTAGAATCTTACCGACACGGCAATAATGTTGTTAGCCAATCAAAATTAACGTCTGGTGCTCCAGTCCTGGGTCAGTTTTATCTGTATCTTGACGCGTAAAGCGAGGTGAATATTTCATTGTATACCGTATACGACTATCTAAGCCTACGTCCCAAGAGATTAAATTAACTTCATTTTCTTATTTCTTAATTATTAATAGGAACCAAGAAATAGACATGGAATGTGTCTCTCACTGTGGCAAAGTTAAATATTGATCAAATCAATTAACGTGCACACGACCATTCAGTTCAGAACAAACAATACAACACGGGCCATTGAAAACAATGAAATTCAACTCAGAAAGTAAATTTGTTCGATTATTTATTTGGTATATTTTTGAATTGTTGGCAGTATGCCATACTCTTCATAAAATATAGACATAGTCTTTTTCTCAGCCAGCAAGAACAAAGAGGATTTTTTTTTTTAAAGTTCAACAAAACAGGAGCATAAACAAATTAATATAATTTTTGTTTCATAGAAGGTTTTACTCTTCTATAACTGAAGATATTTTTTTTCAACAAATTTAAAACCATAGACTGCAGGTTCACATTTCTTCCCAATGCAAGACCCCAGCGACAATGGCGTTTGTGTACAAGTTGTGCTTGTTACGTCCAACAACGCATACTTTCACACGGTGTCGACATATAATATTAACCAGCATGAAATATTCAAAGGCTTTTTTTTTTTACTAAAATTGAATTTGAGCATATCAAATAAATTTAACCAACAACAAAGATTTTGGAATAAATAAATAAACATTATGCTAAATTTGAACTAATTTCTCTTTAAATTGCCTTTAAATAAATCATGCTCTGAGAAAATGCTGAAGTTGGGAAAATAAAATAATAGTTGACAATAATGACTACAACTTGTAGTGAAATTTGTGTTACAATAGTATTTTGACAAATGCATTGAGAGGACTATAAATCATAAGCATTGACTAAATATATAAATATTTATATTATCAAACATTTTTGATTCAAAAGAAAAATACCATGTATAAAAATAGAGAAATTTCAATAAAAACTGGAGGTTAATGAATGAAAGCATCACATTCAAACCACAGGGACAAAAGTGAATATGTATGTACATGTGTATATAAACAAAAGAACCATCCAGCGGAACTTAAGAAAAGAAAAATTACATTTAAATACAATCTATCACATGCTAAGAATGAATAAAACACCATTTAAATAACACTTGAACATAATCAATGAAAGCTTTGTGATGTACAGTGCTGAACATAATCAATGAAAGCTTTGTACCGGTGCCGGTACAGTGTTTGGCTTACTGCTATGAACACAAAATAACCAAAGTATGGCACTTGACAACTGAATAACAGAAAAACAACATTGAAAGATTTGATACGCCATTACTGACTGATCAAAGTTAGCAGTTTAGGTACTTAATGCTGCCTTACAAAAAAAATGTAAGAGTTCACCGTCTGCCAGTGGGGGTAATCATTAAGAGATCAACAAATAAAATTTAACAACAAAAAAAAAGATTGACCAAAGATTCATGAAAAAAAGTTAATCAATTACTCCATTTGAAAACAAGTTTAATTATTCAATAACTCATTGCCTTTCATTTGTTTTCAAGGAAAGAAAGAAACTTACACGGAATCACATTCACAAATGTACAATAAAACAGACATTAGTAAGCCATTGATTTAAAAAGCCAGTGGGAAATGTAAGAGGAATTATTTGATCACAGATAATGTTCATCAGAAAAGCAACATTTCAACAAAAACAAAGGAAGAATTAATTTTTTTTTTTACTCAAGTTTTTCCTCCCAAAGAAATACCTGGATGTTTGACAAAACCAAAGAGACAGAATCAAAGAAATCATTAAATGCAGGATCAAAGTTTTTAAGTTCCTATGATTTGATTGTTCCTTTGATTGTTCCTTCACTTACAATGACCGGGAAAAAAAATTGATTTTCTAAAATAAAAATAATAAAACAATAAACTTGAATAAAGGGATTTAAGGTCTTTTTCTTGCCATTATTTCAAAGATGCTTCATTGTCAGATTTCAATTCACACCTGTTAATACTTAACTAGCACCAAAGTACATGTCTTTAAAAGGCTATAACAGTCATAAAGATGTTGTTGTTGGGCAGTCCACAAAAGACGGTGAACTCACAACCAATGGAATTGTGCTGACAATACTGTCCAATGGATCAAGGTTGCTACAAGATGATGTTGCCTGTGAGGTGAGAAGAGATGAAGTGCTGGTTGCCAGTTTAGCATCCTTCTTGTGTCGCTGCTTCAGGTGCACCTTGGCGTGTCGTTTCTTCTCATCACTTCTGGCGAACTTGCGACCACAGACTTCACAAGAGAAAGGTTTTTCCCCGGTGTGGGTTCGCTTATGAGTTGTGAGGTGATCACTGCGACTAAATGAGCGCCCACAGATGGGGCAAGGAAATGGTTTTTGTCCTGTGTGTATACGAATGTGCCTTGTCAGTTCATCACTCCTAGAAAATCTACGGTCACAATTATCCACTGGACAAGGATAAGGTCGCTCATGAGGAGGTGTCTTGCTGGGACGGTTGGGATATTTTCTTGGCTTCACTGGAAGGAATTTGAGCGACCCCTGGGCATAGGTTTGACCAATAACCGAAGATGCAGATGTTTCTGAAACATCGGATGAGAAGTCCATGTTATACATTTGGTCATCCAATGTTTCAGAATCTGGTTCAGTCTTGATGGTGGGCATTTGAAATGCTGATGTCATTCCTGTAGATGCCATCTGCAGTGCTCCAAAGTCAGGCAACTGAGTCTGGGATGGTCCCACTGTGGAAGGTTGCATGACAGACCACTTTTGGCTTTTGTTCACTAAGTCTGACATTGATGGCATTTGAAAAACATTATCTGCAAGAGATGTTGCTGGATAGTTTAAAAAATGAGGTGGTAAATCTTGCTGCTGTTGGCAGGAGCTGTTGTAATTCGGAGGCTGTTTCATAGGGATGGCAGATAAACCAATGTCCATGTTCAGGGACTGAGGGTAAGATGGAGGAGGATGAGGAGGAAAACTCTCATCTTGACTAGATTCTGTGACCATTGAAAGCTGAGCATCAGGCTCTGGGCTGGAATGGCATGAGCTGATGGGTGAAGCAAATCCTGATGAGTAATGATCAGAAACATCTTGATAAGCAGATTCTGATGAAATGATTGGTCCTTGTGATTGAGGAGACTGGACTGAAATGGGAGATTGAGACGGTTGTTGTTGTTGTTGTCCCATCTGCTCACTAGATGTGGGTGGAATCCTAATGTTGAATTCATATTGAGGTCCAAACGGATTAGGAGACTGGTTCAAGTTAGTTGGCTGGGATCTTGCTTGGGACAAAATAGCGAACAATGGGTTGAGAGGGTTGAACAGGTTGGCTAAGTTAGCTGGGGGTGCATCTGCTTGGCCTGAGCTTGAAGTGACAGCTGTTGTAACAAGTGTACCCTTGTATGTGATGGTGTGTGTGGTAGACACATTACTGGACTGCATAGACTGCATTCTTGATGCTTGGCTTCCATCGGCTGGCCGGTCTGGAAAGTTAATGGAGGCAATAATGTTTGCTGAAAATAAAAGAAAAAGAAAAAAAAAATTATAATTTTAAGTCAAAGAATAGTTTTCATTGTTAGAAATGTGTGTGTTTTATTCAAATGGATTCTTCTCAATAATATACAGGAGTTTGTGTACGTTTCATTAAAAATTGTTATTATGTTATGGGTAACATAACAACCAAATCACCGCATCTTAGTGACGACTGACACAGTTGGAGGTCATGAATATTTATTGCCCTTTTCGGTGGTGGAGATCTCGATATTGAGGCTAATATTTTAATACAAATAACAACAAAGTCTTAAGTATAGAATATATTAAAACATTCGTTGCGTAAAATGTTAAAGTTTATCTAATAGCTGGCGTGGTTTCGGTTTCTTGGTAACAAACGCAAGTAACAGAGGTTGAACCAAAAAAAAAAAAAAAAAGAAAAGCTTAAGCCCGTTCTATATTTAGAACAGTATCCCGTTATGGGAACAGCCTTTGACGTTTATAGAATATATTAAAACATTCGTTGCGTAAAATGTTAAAGTTTATCTAATAGCTGGCGTGGTTTCGGTTTCTTGGTAACAAACGCAAGTAACAGAGGTTGAACCAAAAAAAAAAAAAAAGAAAAGCTTAAGCCCGTTCTATATTTAGAACAGTATCCCGTTATGGGAACAGCCTTTGACGTCATTGCGCTAACAGCTGCTGGAGACCGGATGGCTGAGTTATGTCGATTTGCCCCAAATAAATTACTATCGGAAATATTCAAACTGTTTTATTAAAAAAAGCTTTGTAAACATACCAGTTGCCGTGATAGGTGGTGGCTCCAGAGAATCCGGTCCGAAAAATGTGGCATCGGAATATTTTGTCACAGGCGTGTTTAATCCCTGATCCTCTAAGACTTCCGAAAAATGTCTATTATTGTTTCCCTGTGATGGGAGATCATAACTGAAGCTAGGTACTCCTAAGTCGGCACCAAGGCCGAACGGCGTCAAAACTGTGTCCAAAGTGTCCATAATCATCACGAATGGTTAGTTAATCCTTCAAGAATTGATAATCAATTACCAAACTTAAGACCACACACCATTTGTTGCTATGTGTTAAAATAACAAGAATACTATACGCGTACGCAGATCGGTGTGAACTGACTGGCTATGAAGTAATGAATGAAACCAAACCTTTTATACCAGAGTTTATGAATGAACGCGACTGCAGCGCCATGCCCATATACGGCACAGCGTAATTTGTACCAGCCAATGGCCGCTGGGTTCGCATTGACGTCAATGGACTTACGTCTTTGTCTGCAAAACTCTATTGTTGATATAAAGTAGCTAATTTCTCACTAAAATCGAATTGAAAAGCGATTTTTATTTACTACACACAATAAGCTTATAATACTGATTCTCCAAGCAAATACTGATTTTAAAATATTTAGTAATCTAAAAGATTTTGTTAATAGTATTTCTCGTATCGGCCGTTCGGCTGTAACCTTTTACCTTAAAGTCGGAAACTTCCATATTTGGCACAGGGGTGAATAGAATAAATGACCCGAGTCTTTGACGTCATTTGAAAAGGAAATACTCTACCCATATAAGGTAACTACACTTCCTCTTAAAAAAATCTCCGGTGGCACTCGGGATTCTCACGGATGTATCTAGAACACCGTGCGATTGGCGCGTAGAGCCAAAGAGGTCACAATACATGCTCGCTGCTTTTTTTTTTCTTTTTTTTTACTCTGCCAAAATCTACAACGTTGAGGTCGTAGTGAATCATTGATTGACCTCGGCTGGGCTAACATTGCATAAAACGGCCTCCAGCCATGGCGCGCTGTGCTTTACTGACCTCATTTCTTGCTACAAGGTTAAGACGTTCTGAAAATGAGTTCTATTAATACTGCCGTGTTATTTTCATTTCTTTAGTTACAGTTTCATTTTTAAAATTTTGACTTAAGTCTTAAATCCTCATTCGAATATGTTTGGCTTTATGGTGAATAAAAATGAAATGAATAGGTGACGGGGGTATTCCACGTTATATTTAGAATCACTAAGAATCGTTTGGCTTTATATTTAGTGCATTTAAAAGAAAATAAGAGCGCTACCCGGATATTTTGTTCTATTATGTTTTTCTCTTTAAAAAAAAGGTATTGTATGGTTACCCGAGTTATTTTAGTAAAAATCTATTGCTATTTTCTCAACTCTTAGTTGTCATAATGATACTGAGCTGTGAGGCATGTGATATTTTCCACAATACTTAAATAAAGTGACCTTTTTTCCCAAGTTCATGCCTACACTAAATATTAATTTATTTCACACAAAAGTCAGCAATATTTTCAAAATATTTTGGGATCGACTGTGTTAGCTGCAAGGGACATCAATTTGATAACAATCTGTACAGTTTTAGACGCAGATTACTTTCTCCTTTCGTACTGAACGCAGTCTATCATCTATAATCCTATTGACCATGGAAGTCTATTGTTTTTGTTTTTTTTAACTTTCACTTTAATAAAAATTAAAAAAGATTTTGAATATATTAACCACTTAATAATTCGGTATTCTACTGTCAAAATTTGACACACATATTGACTTCAGAATTATGTAATTGTTCACGATGTGTAAAATAAAAAGTAATAAAAGATTGTTCCATGTCACATCTTTTTTTTATTTAAGGGAAATAACTACGAATTTGTTAAGTTGTAAATTTTTCTTTATCAGTTATCCCTCCTAAAAAAGTTTAATATTTGTCACATATAAGGTATAAATGACCCCTTTTGAACATCTGGCGTATTAAAATATGTTAATGAATATGATGATATAAACTGATTTGTGAAAATGCATAAAACCGCACCTAATAAAGATTTTAAGTTAATTTTTTTTTGTCTGTTCGTTCATTATATAAAATACAAGTAAAAAGTACTCAGCCTTGCTTGAGTATGGGGGGGGGGGGGGGCAAAAAAAAAAAAAACTTTCCAGGGGAGGGGGGCAAAAATTTTTTAGTAATGTTTTAATATAGTTTTAATTTACTGTAGCGTATTTGTATGGTGAACGAACGGACAGGACATCAGCTTAGTTACCGGTACTTTCTCTTTATTTTCTCTTTACTTTAATAAATTTCTTTGTCTAATATTTTTTTATCCAATCAATCCGGGGGGGGGGCAAGTGCCCCCCTTGCCCCTACCTGCGGG